TTTTAATTTGACCTAAATCTAGTGTTCTAATAATCTGTAATTGACTCCTTTGGGTTTCCCTCAACGTTTGTACTTTTTGTTTATCTTTTGTCTTTACTTATATCATATAACATTTAACTCAAAGTTCATCTTTGACACTCGACTTGAATTTCTTTATTATCAAACTGTATATAACATATTGTTGATAATAGGGGTCCTCAGTCGTCGAATTTTTAAATAATAATATCTTTTTACTTAAAAATTCGCCCATCATAATTTTTTAAATTTTATATTCTAAGGAGCCAGTTTTTGCGCCATCAATCAAAACAAAATAAGTTAAGAATGGAAACAAAACATTACGTCATAATGACGTAAAGATTCCAGTGTAACCGAAATTGATGCAATGTGAAACAATAAAAAATAATGACGAAAAACCATTTTTAAATTTCTTTTTCACTACTTTCATCCCTCCTTTTTTTGAAAAAAAAATAATTTAAATTATTCTTTGTCAGGGTACCAAGCAAAGAGAATGTCTATCGTATGAAAAAAGACCGCAGAAGAAAATAAATCGCATTATGGAAAGAATTTGAAAAGAATCCTGCTCTTGATGATATTGGGAAGGAAGATAGCAATGTATTCTTTTGCAAATAAGGGGTCTAGTTCTAGCTTTTACTACTCGTTTTTGTAAGCTGATTCTGTCAATGGAAGATCAGTTTGTCAGCTGACCATCACCTGAAGAAAAAGCGGTTATCAAAACCATCAACCAGTTTTATCTGGGTTTCCCTGACTGTCTTGGGTTTATCGATGGCACACATATTTGTTTGGAGGATGCACCTGTTTGGAGACAAAACGAATTTTACAACAGAAAGGGTAGTCACTCCATTCAGACAATGGCAATTTGTGACCATAAACGAAGAATCCGGTACGTAGAGACTGGTTACTTTGGAAGTTCCCATGACATGCGTGTACTTGCCGAAAGTGATATGGGAAAATACCCGTCAAAGTATTGTGTTCGAAACGAGTATGTCTTGGGTGACGGAGGATACTCTCCTACAAACTACCTGGTACCTGTCAGCAAGAAGCCAAGAAATGGAACGACAGCCGATGATGACCAGCAACAATATTGATCTTACCGAAAGGGGAAAAAAAATATCAATCAATCAAAAAAATTCTTTTTGCAGGAGATGAAACAAAGAAAAGAGATGAGAACACGTTAGTAGTTAAAACAAATTTATTAATAAAGTTTATTTACACCTTTTCAAAAATAAATGGCATACTTTTTTTTCCCAATTGGCACACACTTTTTTTTCTCAATTGGCACACATTAATTTTTTGATCGGCTCAAAACGTTTTATTAGTTTAGCCCATAATTGTTTTGTTGATGGCCCAGAAATTGGGGTACAAAGTGTGTCATACTTAAAATGAAAGTTTTTCTAAACGTACTTGACGTTTTGAATCTGAATATTGGCAAAAGCCCTGTAAATCACTGAAAATAACACTGTTGCAATCGTCGGTTATTCTCGAAGTAGTCGTTTCCGTCTCCAAAAGTTTTTTTTTTCAGTTTGCTTTTAATCACTGACCGAGACTGCTATATTGTATTCAATTCATGTGAATAGGAATAGAGATAAACACATCCTTATCCGCAATTAATAATGTATTGTTGAATATCAAAACTTTTATCGATGGGTACATTGTCCAGGACAACGTAGAACCCTTTAAATTGCTGGTGTTTATCTAACACATCAGGGGTACTGGCGATGAAATTAAAATAATGACCAATAATGGTTCCTAATGTTGTGATTGCAGAAAACCCGAAAGCGTTAAATGATGCTCCCTGTAACTTTCTTTTTTTTTTGAAGCAGACTGGTACGGTCTTCTTACTTTAACATGGATTATACCGACGGGTGATATGGCACCCAAAATAATTGTCGTTTGTGCCCTCGTAACTGGCGTCTCAACTATGGCTCCCTCCACGTTTTTTGACCAAGCTATAGTCCTCTTAAGATTGACGTGGAAAGCTGCCTCACAAATGAAAATGCAATTGCTTTGGTAGTCTAAATCTATTTTTGACCAATTGCTTACCCACTCAAATCTTTACTGAATTTTCTTGTTTAAATTTCTTTCAGAAGGGTAAACATATGCCTTTTTAAAGGACAACGAGCGCTCGTTAGCCATGAAGTTTTGGATGGATATTTTACCAACTTTCAGACCCTCAAATTAAATAGTCAGGGTATTTGTAGCTTGATCGACCGTTGCCGAAGGGTTTTCACCAAACGTTTTCTCAACGTGCGTTTTACGATCTTCGTTTAATATGGCCTCTCTGCCTCGCCTCTCGGTCAACTTTACATTTCTGCTATCATCGTTTTTCTCCTCCAGTCTACCCACAACAATATCCTTATCGTCTGTAAACACATTGTAAGCCGTTCTACGAAGTAAATTCATAACACTTGCCGCTTTTCCAGCAGTCAGTCCCCTTTCATAGACGTGGTAAAAAAACATATCCTTTACATCAACTCGCCGATGTTTTTTTTTGCTGTTTGAACACTTAGAATTACTAAGAGTCTTGTTGAGTTTGTTAACTTTTATTTCCATCTTCTTTTCACGTGTTCTTAGATCTAGATGTGAATCATAAGTGGTTATATTATTTAGAGGATACGCTTCCTCATCCATTTCCATTTGCACCAAAAGGCTACTCGACCTCCTGTCAAAATTACCTCTATGAAGGACAGCAACTGTCAACATTGCGGAATTGTCATGTCTTGGATTCAATGCAAAGTAACTGTAGAGTATATATTCAGAGTCAACGGAAGCGCTTGTACAATGACACATATTAGCAACAAAGACAAGACAGTAAAACATACTCACGGTATTTTTAACTCGAAGCATCTTTCAGCAACCGAAAAATGTAAAGTCGATGCTTTTGTTCAACAAAATCCATTGATGACACCAACGGCCGCAGTGTTTGGTGGCGAAAATAGCAGTGGGGCAACCGAGTCCATTAGAAACATCAATCCAATTCTCGGAAACAAAGAAGTGTAAAGAGAGAATTAAAAGAATCAACACATCAACCAGGTTTTGCTGACAAAACCAACAATGACTTTTTGGCCGATTTTGTAAAAATTGAGGAAGACTTTGCAGGACAGATCGATCATGCTCAGATTGTTGATCCAAAGTTTTGCATCACATTTTCTCATCCTGCAATGAGTTTGCTTCCCTTACCTTTTCATAAGAATCCTATCATTACTGACGTTATATTTAAAGATGTATCAACCGGCTTCTATCTGTTATCATCTGTCGTTTATGTGGAAGAGATGAGAAAACATGTTGTACTTTTTCAAGCTATAATTAAGTATCAAACGGCCAAGCAAATTTCTTTTTATTTTGAGGCCTTATTTAAGAAATTCGCCATCCAGCAGAAGTTTTTCCTCGGCATGATTATGGATTTCTCTTTGGCGGAACGCCAAGGTTTCCAAAAGGCCTGCCAAAAATACTTTGGTATGAACGAGGATGAGTCTCTTGGACATATTAAAGGTTGCTACTTTCATTGGATGCAGTCAGTCCAACGTATCGTTAAAATGCAGAAAATTGTTTCCCCTGAAAATGCCAAGACGTTTATTGCATTGACTTACAAACTCCAAAAGACGACAAACAATGACTTGTTCCTTGAGACGGCAAATCTCATTCTTGAAAAGTTCCCTGACAGCAGAGCCTGGCCTCAGTGGTGGCTTGAAAAGAGCGTGTCATCAATGATCTTCAATGCCAAATCACTGATGAAAAAGGATCTTCGTAGACACGAATTACGTACATCGAATGGAATGGAATCGTACCACCGAAACTTGTATAGGTTTATCACTAAAGTATCCCATTTAAGCGAAACTTTGCGTGAAATTATCAAGGTATCATGCATCTACGGCGATGAAATGTTAGGCTATTACAATGACGGTGTTAAGCCAAACTATGGGTCCACAAACCGAACAACCACATCAAAACAAATTGATCAAAAGCTTCTATGAACTTAGTGATAGTGGAGCTCCGGATACCATGAATGCAATCTACGGTACGCAAGCGTCTATCTCCAAGAAAAGAAAGGTTGTTGAAACGGCGTCTTCTGTTAATCAAGGAACGAACTTTTACGATGTATTTGGAGTTGATAAGGACAGTAAAATTAAAGACAAACACGACGATGAAATGGAAAAAACATTGCGTCCTTCCTTGCAGATTACAACATCGCTGACACTGATGAATACATTCAATTTGACAAAACTACAGCCGATTTGGAAGACATGATTTTCACTGGAACGATGGAAAAAGAAGTGAAGGAGAAGGTGTTCAATGGGTTCATTGTTAATGATCCCAGTCAAGATATCATGGGGGGAGACGATTATTTTGATGCGAATGACATTAGTGACAACAAGTCCGTAAAGTCTGCCGAATCCGTAGATTTGGTCAAGCTGTTTGAAGAGCTTTATGCTGAAGGTTATGTTCCTGAAAGCGACGTTATTTCAATGAGAACACAACCGAAAATCTGTGAACTCCGCAATTCAGAACTTGAAGCAATTGTAAAGGACATACCAGTGGTACACTACTTTTTTTCTTTCTTTGGGTTTTTCCCCCAAATTCCTCCGAAATTTTTTGACTGCTTTTCTCCCCTTTTTCTATAAAAGGGGTCCCTAAAAACAAATAAACATTTCTTCAGTCAGTCTTTACTTCACTTTGAATTTGTCATTAAGTCTCGTCTTAATCCTTATTTTTAGTTATTGAATTTAATAAGATCTTAATTATACTTGAACATAACTTCCTACTTAAATCATCAAATTAAAGATTCAGTTGTATATTACTACTCCTTCAAATTCTGCATTGAACTGATTTCGTCGCTAAAGTTATCCAAAGCTATAACCTTTTATTATTATTTCTAAATAAGTTGACTACTTTCACAGTCTGGTGCTCACTATAAATACATCTGTTATTCTTTTTTTATTCCTTATCTTAAATTTCATACCAAAAACCTTACAACACCAGCAATGAAGAAAAATACTCTGGTTAAACCAGCTCAAAAAAAACAGCTGTTGACCATCAAGACGTACCAAGAGCTTACAAGAAAGTATGATGAAAGTGGCCGTACCAGACCAAACAGAACAAGACAGCGTTTAAAGTTTTACAGCCACATAAGCATGAACACAAACAACTCCTGTTTCATCGATGCCACGTTTGAGCTTCATTGGAACTGTGTATTCCCCGCCATCGACTTCTCTGGATTGGATGTTGAGTCGGACAACATTTTTGATCAGGTGCTTATCAGCAGTTATCAGAAGTACATTGAACCGCAGTTCACAGACGTTATAGATAGTAAGCATTGCTTAACCCCAGAGGTCTCGTCGAAGGCTAGAGAGTTTATCTGGGCCATTCCAAAGACGAAAGGAACTGGATTTCAGTACCCTCGGGGTGAATGCAGTGATTGCCTGGAGGTTCTAAATCTGATGATGACAAGATCTTCTCCGGAATTCCAAGAGAAGGTGTCAAACTTTCCAATAGGTTTGACATTGAGGTCCCATATTTGTTCTGTGAACCCAAACCACGGCTTTGTAGATCCTAGCTGTGAGTTCTCACCTTTGTTTGAAATAGGTTTGGAGATGCGTTCTTGGATTTCTGCAAAGAAAACATTTGCCAGTCAAGCCGATTTGGACCAGGAGTTTAGCAACGTTTTTAAATACATACACATCATTAGAGAGATGAAGCATGCGTGTAGACAAATGGAAGGTGGGGAAAGGTGCCTTGGCACCATAACATCCCAAAATTCTGTAAGCCTTGTAGATTTCGCTGCCTTCCTTTTTATTGGAAACGCAAGAGGTCATGGGATAGACGAAGATGGGATTTACTTCCCTCATACTTTTACCATGTCGGAAAGTATCAAGTATGAGATATAAGGAAGGGTATACTCTTCATCCTACAGTGGGTCGCATTTCTGGACTGTATGCTACAAAATAATTGAAGGGAAGCAATATCTTGTACGCGTTGATAATCCTAAAGATGACATACAAATTATCACTGACGATAAAGCCCATGCAGCAAAGATCCTTTGTAACTATAGAAACACTGTGTATGCATGTTATAAAAAATTTTAAAAATCAAAAAAATCCCATTTTTTAACTAAAACAACTGTTCCCCGGAGTTTTTAATCGTTTGAGTCTTTGCACCTTTAATAGGAATATCCCTGTCATGAACTTACTCGCCCTGTCATTGTCTGCATAACTTAACCATGATCTCAAACCCCTTGAGAAACCTTGTTCTAGAAATTAATAGCAGTATCTCTTGTCTGCTACCAAACTCCCTGTAAAACCTTGTACCAAAAATCATTTCCGTATATCTTGTCCGCTACCAAACTCCCTGTAAAACCTTGTACCAAAATCATATCAATATATCTTGCCCGCCACCGAACTCCTTGTAAAACATATCACTAATCTGCTTCTCAATATTACTCCCGCTTCCTGTCTGACTCAACCTTAGTAAACCTTTTCCCGATCATCTTTTACTTTTATTCCTAATCCAGTTTCCCCGCCCGTGTCAAACCATAAATATTCCCCGAACCATCATATTATTCAATGTCAACTAAATCCAGCCTGTTACTACTCGTCAAATCTCAATTACTCATCCTTGTCAATAATCTACTCATATCTGTTCCGTAAAGTCCCTTGTTATTCTATAATTTAAACCCATCGTAGTTTTTCCCATGTATAAGAAATAGTACAAATAGATGTTAGTTATTTATTAGAAAAATGTTATTCTGGATCTTAGTTCTAACCCCTCCCCCTCTTAATAATAAACATATTTTATCTTAACCAATCTCCCCCCTCGTGTCGCCAAGTAGTTTCTGTGTCTTGTTCCTGTTCAGTCCGTGATAATACCCCATCTCAAACACACTTAAAGTTAATTGAAAAATGTAAAAAGATGATTAGAGAAATAAAAAACAAACAAATTAATGGTTCTTTATATATTTATTTTTTCCGTGACCGTTTTTTATTTACACCCTCCGGGGAAATAATAGACCGAACGATTAAACCCTCGAGATTACATCCTTTTGCCCCGCACCGCCAGAAACAGTAACCATGGTACCACGGCCTTGGGGGATAGTCCAATGATAAAGCGCTGGCAGCCATGCCGGGAGCAGAACATCGCGGTTTGACTGATTATGCAAAGCTGTTGGAAGAAAACCAGTTGCAGCAAACCAGCCATCGGATGGATACAAAGCTCGTCAAACCTCTTTCACTTTGCTAGCATTGACGACACGTGTATTTTGCATGTTGTCGGTAGTCTTATTCCAAGAAAAGATATCAGAGACCAAATACCGAAAGGGCACAGAAGAAGGTACCAATGTCGGAGACCAAGTACTAACTGCATCACCAACAGTTACAACACATTGAAGAGGCAAATCTAGAAACCATCGAGCAGACCATGTGTTCGACAAGGACAGCGTAGGAAGCTTCTGTAGAATTTTGCCTAGTTGAGCCAAAGGAACTATCCGTTTGAGTGAATTTTGAAATTTAGTCGGATATAAGAACCAGGGTAAAATTAAGGCATGACCGGTATATAACTGGATACCACGAACCAGCCAAGGAGAAACAAAATCAGTTGTCTTTGGGCCGGAGATCAACCGCTGAATGTAGATGTGTTGCAAAGCTAGCTGTTGCAGATGCACATCAACCAAGCTAACACCGCCGAATTTTTGCGGGACATACATAGTAGACATCGAGGGCCGGGGCTAAAAAGGAAGTAAATATCCACGAACGAGAGCTTGGACAGAATCGAGCCACTTAGTTGGAACAGACACCACACGCAAAATGTGCCAGAGCCGACTTAAAAGCAGAGAATTGGCAACAAGACCTGATCCACGCAGAGAGAGATTGCGCTGACGTAAGATATTCGAGTGTCGCAGTATTTTAAGTTGAACTTCATCCAGAAACGCATCGAGCTGCGTTGAGGTATGGTATACAGGGTAACCAAGATATCGCACCGCACCAACAGAACTAGAATCATGCCAGTCCAGACCTTCGGATTGAGCAAAGTCGACCCATTCAGCATGACCAACACCGGAGAGAGACACCAACACCGTTTTACTAAGATTTACTTTGGCATTAGAAGCTAGACCGCAGCAATCCAATAAAGATTTCAAGACCGGCCATTCGCCTGGACCAGTTAAAAACACCTCCAAGTCATCAGCATAACTTATTAATTTAACAGGACGAGGAGGGTTCACCACCGACTGACTGATAAAATCGCGATCGGATGAGCTAGGAGTATCAATCCACACCGGTAGAACCAGAGGACACACCGCCGAAGACACCGCACCACTACCAAGAGAGACAACAGAGAGATCAGAGCACGCTAGAATGGACCGAAGAAGAGGTTCAAAGGCCAAATTAAAGAGCAGAGGAGAGAGAGGATCACCTTGCCGTAGACCTCGAGACTGAGGTATAGGCATTCCTAACCAACCATTGATAGAGAGGGATATCTCCGTACCAAAGAACAGAGTACTTAGACAATCCACCAGCGTCAGGGGAAAACCAAATCGAAGAAGCACCTTGCGGAGATAATCCGGATGGACCCTATCATACGCCTTTTCTTGATTCAGCAGAACTGCCACCTGAGGAACATCAGGAGCCACATCACGAGCATTAGCCATAAACATTTGATTTAACCAACCATTGTCCGAGATCAATCGATGAGGCATAAAACCAGTTTGGTAAGGATTGATCAGCTGAGGAAGAACGGTATTAAGCCTATTAGCCAGAAGTTTTGTGAACAACTTTGCATCGCTATTAATGAGAGAGAGCGGGCGCCAGTTCTTGAGTAACATTGGATCACCTTTCTTGAAAAGTAAGACCATCCTAGTTTGTTGCCAAGAAGAAGGAAACACACCGATAAGAGCATCATTTAAAATACCTAGCAGCATCGTACGGAAATCAGCCGAAGACTTGAATAGGTATTTGTACACCTCAAAAGGAAGACCATCCAAACCAGGGCTTTTACCAAGGGGAGTATGACCAACCAAATCTTGCAGAGTATCCATCAGAATAGGATCTGTCAGCGAGTCGGAATCTTCTAGAGACAACACCACATCATCAGGAATACTTGCCAAGAGAGAGTCAACAGCTGCATCATCAATTAAATCGGGTGTGTATAGCTCCTGGTAAAAACCTCTTGCGTCCCGAATAATATCATCTGAATTCACCAAGACAGAACCAGTAGCGGAGCACTTTAAGGATTGTATAGTCTGTTTAGACTGACGCTCCTTTATAACTCGGTAGAAATACTTGTTGTTACGTTCACCCAGTTCATGCCAGCGAGTAGCAGAGCGAAGCATACATTCACGCGTTTCTTTCTGAATCTGATTGTCAATCAGTTGATCCAGCTCTTTCAGTTTCGAGGAATCAACCAAGATACTTCCAGAACCAGACTGAGTTAACACAGCATCACTAGTGATAATGCCCGACGCAGTTGATAGCAGAATTGTACGTTCCTGTTGTAACGAAGCAACTTTGTTCTTGAACCGAGCCTTAGCACCTCTAGTGTACTTCCGTGCGCAGCACTTCAGTAACACTTTGAAAGATTTCCATATGTCTTGAACAGGCACTGGTTCACCCCCACCACCGTCACCAGGATTATCAACACAAACAATGGAATCAAAGAAGGGCGCCACGGTCTTATCCAGCAGAACCAGGAACTCAGCATCATCCAATAAAGTAGGGTTGAAACGCCAACAACCAGGACCAATATCAACACGGGCAGGTACAAGATCGATTGATAGTAGACAATGATCTGTATACGCCGAAGGGACTTTTCGAATCATACCATTAACCAGTCGAGTAGCCAGAGAGCGATGACCAAAGACATAATCAATAGTAGTTCTTGAGTTACCCTGTGTGTGAGTAGGAAGACCACAAGGAATGCAATTGTCGAAATGACTACGCACTCAATCAAACCAGAAAGACACAGTGGACTGACCAGTAACCTTGACATTATGAAGATTCATGTTGGGATCACCCATAAGTAGCCAAGGCGCAGTAGACATGTCAGAGAAAAAAGGAAGAGAAAGAAAATTGTTCAAAAACAGAGGACGGTCCGAAGACTGTGCCAGTACGTACACAGAGGCAACGCGACAGAAGACATTATGCTGAAGATCCATAACTGAACCAACAACACAACGCTCGTCCAATGAAACAGCAGTGTTATCCAGATAAAGACCCGAATTGAGACATACAATAGCAGAATATTTGGAGACAACCACCGAACAACGAGGAAAAAGAAACGAGCAGAATTGAAGCATTTGATCATCAGTAAGATGGGCTTGATGAAAAGAAGAAACTTCTTGGATGCAAAGAACATCCAGAAACAAAGAACGATTGCGCAGAAAAGACATAAATTCCTTTTGAATGTGAGGGCTCGTCGATTTGAAAATGCTGCGTGCATTAAGTGAGCCCAAGCGAAGAGGTGTACCTAACATTGCGCCTTATCGGCAGTCTGTTTGGGTTTCTTTTGGATATGAATAGATATATATGGCGGAGGCACACCCATTTTCTTCGAAGAACTAGATGCTTTTTTTACACTACCGGCAGCAGGCTGAGCTGTCTTTCCTTTCTTTGAGCCGAGAATAGGACCACCACCACCACCAGACATATTACCACCAGCACCAGGCATATCACCACCAGCACCAGACATATCACCACCAGCACCAGACATATCACCACCAGCACCAGACATATTACCACCAGCACCAGACATATCACCACCAGTTCCAGAAGAAACAGCACCAAGACTAATACCACGGACCTGAGACACATCACCAACATCAGAGCTCACACCGGAACCACCACCAGACCCAGAGGCACCAACCGAGACATCACTAGGTACACCAACTGCCAAGTCTTCA